CACTTTGTTGTTTGAAAAACTATTTTTGGATGATAATTAACTCTTCTTCAGCTATTTGCAGTTATCCAAGACAGTCGCTAGCCTCCAAGGATTATTAAGTCTCTTATACAAAGTGAGTTAACTACAGTAAACGTTAAAAATATCTTTAAATAGTGTCTCCCTGTAAAAGGGGGTAGTTTTTATTAATACCAGTTTTTTTTACAAATATTCACGGTTCTCGATACACAAAGACTCTAATTTCAAAAATAGAAGTTTAGAGCGGGGTTTCTGGTCTCGGGACAGAGTTCATATATCACCAATCACATATGGATTTGAACCACTTTATTGTCATGTGTCTGACTGGTTCTGAGCCTAAGTCTATCTTTAAATTCACCTGTCAATAAAGCAAAAATGAAGAACTCTCGGATGGGCATAATTAACCAATTGGTTGAGTCTCTTCTCTAATTCTCGGTAGTGTAGTACATGCATTATGTCCAGCATGACACAGATTGGGTATTGGCCGTCAATATTGATCAATATTGATCAATCAATATTGATGTCAATATTGATGTCCAGTACATCATCATCAGTCCTAGTCTCATATTGTTGCGGTGTTATAAGAACATAAAATATGTGGAGAATTGTTTTACTTACTTTTTAAGGCATTGTTTTCTTTGCCAGACATTTACAAAATGATCCCATATATTATAATGTAACGAAGCTTGCGTGCAAAACAAAGTCAAGTTTGTTTTCAGGAATATCACAACACAACTTAAATGAAATACCACATGCTGGGAAGAATGGTTCACTTTCTCATAGCACCCAGGCTTATGAAATTTTTTCGCCTGATCGTTGCTAGATTAAAATTGAAGAATTTCTGTGTTTACAAAGACTAAGAAATATAAAATTCACTAATCTGCTAACTACACTATCATTAAAAAGATCTAGTACAAATGGAGATTTTTCACACCCTTTAAACTTGATCGTATGTTACAATCATAACTAACATCTTTAAGTTGACTTCAAACAAATGTACTAAATTGTTGGCCTCAGATAAGGCATTCAACTCTAACTGAACTCCGCAGCCGGAAAGGGATGTGTCGTCGGCAAAGAGTGTAGGTTTTACAGCTGAAGTGCATGAAGGGAGGGAATTTGTAAAAAGAAAGAATAGGACAGACCCGAGTACAGAACCCTGGGACACTCCCCTCAATATAGAGGACTTGGCAGAGGAATAGGGACGCAAAAGTCCAGTCTCATCCGCTGAACGGATCTTTACAAACTGTTTTCTGCCTTCAAGGTAACTTGTGATCCAGTTTAAGGCCAGGCCACGTATTTCCACCTCACTCATTCTCTGTAGCAGCAGCCTGTGATCAACATCATTCCTTCGACCCCCCTTCAACATCATCGAGCCTTACTGAGGTCGAAGAAAAGCCCTGCTGAAAATTTCTGGAATCGAGCTCATTTACTACTCTTACTACTCCAGTTATGAAGTTATATATAGCAGATAGAGTAGGTTTCCTCTTCAAGAACCCGTGTTGTCCATAGTAATTATATTATTACTGTCTAGGAATTTCCATAACCTAGTGACCATCTTCTTCTGAAAACCTCTTCGAGAATGAAGAAGCAATAGATATTGGTCTGTAGCTGCTCCATACTCAGAGGTGTGCAGGACACAGCCCCTGAAATTACAAATTCGGGGGTTTCCTTTTTTTAATATCAGTCTCTTTTAGACCTCGGGGAAATGATCCGGAAGTAAAGGAAAAATGTATAAGGTGGCAAAGGAGTATGCAAAAAAAATATATATAATCATTTTTAATAAGTGTTTAGTTATGTAACTGAGTAAATATTAAATCTGATAGTTTATTGGTAAAATAAAAAGTGTATTTTCTTACATCCGATTCCCATAGTTCACCAATTTAAAAAAATGAAAAACTTTGGTCTCGTGCAGTTATGGAGTAAAAAAATCTGGATTCACTATAATAGTTATAAAATATAATCAGATTTTTAGCTGTTAAAGAAACGACAGGTAAAAATGCACTAGGTCTAAATTTCTCTATCCAGTCCGCCTAAAAGTAAATGTTGAAATTAATTTATATTAAAAAACCACTTTCTTGTTTCACTCAATTTTATGCATCTGAAAAGGTTATGGTTAGGGTAAAATAAAGTATATTAAATTCTAACCAGCCAGGAGGTCACAATCCAGTTAGGCCGTGTGATTTAGAGAGCTCGGCCACAAGCGTTACATTGCTGCATGGTTGTGGGACATGATAAATATTAATGTACTTGTGTTTGACGCAGCGTAACTGTTGTGACGTCACCTCACAGAGCTCGGCCACAAGCGTTACATTGATGCATGTTTGTGGGACATGATAAATATTAATGTACTTGTGTTTGACACAGCGTAACTGTTGTGACGTCACCTCACAGAGCTCGGCCACAAGCGTTACATTGATGCATGGTTGTGGGACATGATAAATATTAATGTACTTGTGTTTGACACAGCGTAACTGCTGTGACGTCACCTCACAGAGCTCGGCCACAAGTGTTACATTGATGCATGGTTGTGGGACATGATAAATATTAATGTACTTGTGTTTGACACAGCGTAACTGCTGTGACGTCACCTCACAGAGCTCGGCCACAAGTGTTACATTGATGCATGGTTGTGGGACATGATAAATATTAATGTACTTGTGTTTGACACAGCGTAACTGTTGTGACGTCACCTCGCAGAGCTCGGCCACAAGCGTTACATTGATGCATGGTTGTGGGACATGATAAATATTAATGTACTTGTGTTTGACGCAGCGTAACTGTTGTGACGTCACCTCGCAGAGCTCGGGCACAAGCGTTACATTGATGCATGGTTGTGGGACATGATAAATATTAATGTACTTGTGTTTGACGCAGCGTAACTGTTTTGACGTCACCTCGCAGAGCTCGGCCACAAGCGTTACATTGATGCATGGTTGTGGGACATGATAAATATTGATGTACTTGTGTTTGACGCAGCGTAACTGTTGTGACATCACCTCGCAGAGCTCGGCCACAAGCGTTACATTGATGGATGGTTGTGGGACATGATAAATATTAATGTACTTGTGTTTGACGCAGCGTAACTGTTGTGACGTCACCTCGCAGAGCTCGGGCACAAGCGTTACATTGATGCATGGTTGTGGGACATGATAAATATTAATGTACTTGTCTTTGACACAGCGTAACTGCTGTGACGTCACCTCACTTGACAAAACACGCCGTTACAGATTTCAACCATCGGCGACTGATTGACAGTTATAATTAAAACGCAGCTGAAGTAATTTCCTCGATTTATCAACAATTCATTTAATTTGTTTAAAACTATTATGATTTGTCATTGACTTTGAATTTTCGAGTAGATTTCTTATGCTATTGTATAATTTGGGGATTGTTTTTTGTGGAATATCAATAAGCACTTATAAGTGTTGAAAACACTTTCCACATATTAGCAAAACATACCCAAAAGTTCTCCAGCTAATTCACAGGGATAGAGAATCTGTGAGAATCTGTGTATTGGTTTTTGGGGGTTGCCAAAGCATTTGTGACTGTGTATCTGTGTTTAGATATCACGTACAGATTCAAGATTCAAGATTACACACGTGGAGAGATACGGAGAAGAGGACGCGCAGAGAAGAGAGCGGATGGCATCCACGTGGAGAGCTACGGAAAAGAGGACGAGCAGAGAAGAAGAGAGCCGAAGGAGAGGAGCGCAGACAGAGGCTCACGTGTTTCTAAAAGCGGTTTTGTTTGTTTATGACACCACACAAATAAATTTTCCCTTTGTATTCTATGTTTAATGTCTGTGATTTTAAGGGTTGAGAAGACAGCTAATTACAATTATTATTCAAAATTATAGTTAAATAGTATACCCCATGGCTTGGTCCTGGTTAATAATTACTAAAAACTTAAATACTATCTTATAGTACATTAAAAAATACTTAAATATATATTTGAAAAGAATTGCATTTTAAGATATATAATGAAAATTTTATCTGTGATCTAAATAAAATAAAATTTAATCCATTTATATGTGATCACCAAAGTTGAACATAGATTATTTAAAAATTAGAATATATGCAAATTAATAGTCTATCCATTATGATTATTAAAAGGACATATAAACTATTATTTTCAGTTTACATACCTTATATTTCTTTTCTGATAATCATGACCACACTAGCATATCATGATCATGTGCGGTTTACAGATTTCTCAACAGTTCATCATCCTTTCTGGATTACAAAATATTAATTACATTCCACTTTTTAATTTTGCATTCAGTAAAGTTGAAATTCATTCTCGGGTTCTCCCCGTCTACTTCGGTCAGGTAGCCTGTCTCAACAGATTCCGAAACAGGTTCTTCTGAAGTAGTTGTGATAATGAAGTAGCATTGCAAATTTGGACAACATTTGTGTACTTTAAAATTGCATAAAGAAGTTGTAGTTTTTAAGCATATAAAGTGTAACTAAAATATTGGTCTAGACTTTTCTTCAGCCCGGTAACGTTAGATTTTTGCAACGTCCCTTTCAACGACTAAAGTAAATATTAACTTTAAGTTGAAGGCATAACCTATACAATTCTATGAGTTTTGTAATAAAGAAAATAATTATTTTTTGTAGTGTAGCGAAAAGTAACGTTCAAAACACGGGTGAAAGTGGGTCTATACATATTCTAGACCATTTAAAGTGCTCGACAAATCTCGCACTTCAAACATGGTCTCAAATATGTAATGACCCACTTTCTAATCTTGTTATGCAACATACTATTACCTACGTTTCCATGTTTAGGAATGGTAAAGGACAACTTTCCAGTCTATCAATACGGATGGAAATGTACCTGTTTCTATGTTGTACGATGTAAACCATTATAAGAAATTGTAGTACTACGCTTTTGTGAAGCACTAGCTACAAACATATTTTAAAATAGGATTCAGGATCAACATCTAAAAAGACTATTTTGTTACAAATGGACGATTTAATGGCACATTCTATTTCAGAACGGAAGTTGGTGATTTCTATGGATTCACTAATCATTGAGGTTCCCTAGTTTAACACTTTTTACTATGTGATCGGATTTCTTCCTCTTAAAGAAGGAGATGCAGTTTGCACCTTTTGGTCCGAATCCGTATGGTTTGTGTGCCATTGTGTTCAAGTAGTATGTCCCTTTTGCACTGAAACAAGACCAGAATACTCTGTTAGAGTAGGGGATACATGCTAAATAACATAACTTGTCGTATTGATTGACTATTTCTTATTCGTACTCCTTAAGAATACACTTGCTTTTAATGATACGATACGTACTAAATGTTATCAACAATCTATTTTTATATAACTTTCTATACTTCTGTGACCTTAAACAATTTCAAAACAAATATTACCGATTCAAATAACAACCACTTATTGTGTGTGATTAACTGTCAAGTTACAACAGTCTTGAAGAAGAATCTCGTTTCAGCTTCGTACTGGTTGAATGCTGTTACAGCCCAAACCAAGAGTACCTACTTGTTCGACTGTAATTTACTAAATATCTAGTAAATAGTTATACAAAGAGTTTATTCACCCAGGAACTGGTGGGAATGTGAGTGAAGTCTTTTCCTTGAAACTGCAGAGACAGGACGAGAACAAAAGATAACTGCTGCACTTCCTCGCTGTCCACAACTCAGGGTATAAAATGACATACCAGAATAACGTGACAGACCTTTGATGACTGCAATACATGTTGCGACCTATAAAAGAGTATATAAGAAATATGCTGAACATTTGGCCAGTTTTGGGGCCCTATGGGCTCAATGCGTGAAAAGGGAAACCTTTCTATCTGACTTAGACATGGTGCCAAAAATAGGTACGTCCACACCTCCATCGCCAGCTGTGAAGTAATGCATTCGAAACCTTTTGACAACGGAACATCTTGACATAAGAAATAGTCGTTTTCACAGTTTTAGTAACCCATTATCGTTGAACAATAAGCAAGCTAAATAATGTGCATTTAGATTGGCCGGAAAAGGATTAATATCACAGATTAGTATTGAAGCTGTAATATGAATTTAAATAATTATCGTCTAATACTTACTAAAGAAACAACCAGGTTGGAACCATCCGTTGTTTATGACGAAATCAGCTGTTGCCTTGTGATCAAATGTACCAGCGTAAATTGAGTTGGTGTGGAACACAAAGACCAGTTCGGCATCGTCTTTGGAGACCACTTTGTTTTTCATACTGAATAACGTCGTTGAGAATGGTTCTAGAGCTGAAGAATAGAAAACATGCATATGATAATTTACTCGATACCAAAAAGGTCTAAAATGTGTATACTGTTCTGAAGTATCCTTAATACATTTTAGTATACTCAGTGATGTTATTAATTTATGAAAGATTTTTGTTAAGTCAATTTGTCATCGTGTTATTTAAAATTTCTTTGTTCCTGCCAGTCTATCTGTAATTCCAACCTATCACATAACTATATTTAGATATCCATTGTTGCATTCATTAATCGCAAATCACCTTTCCTACAAACATGACGTACCACATTGGGTATGTTACATACAGGCTTTACCTTCCTTATCATTGATTGAATGTCAATCATAGTGCTGTTCCTGATCAAAATAAAACAAACAACACTAATATATCTATTTAAGATTCTTTTTTTATAATTATTATTTTTTACAATGTAACTTCCCAAAGAATACATAAAAATTATCTAAGCTTAAGAAGAGTGAAGCAATTTGCTAAAATTTAATTTAATTATCACTAATATATTTTTCATACCCACCCGTTATTGATTTCATCTTCTTGTCATCGTTTTTCGAAGATACATAGCGACCTATATAGCCTGAGAGCTGAGCAGAGAAGCTAAAACCAAAAAGGTGTATTTTGTTGATTTCTATTAGATTTTCGGCAATCGCAGAGTTGAAAAAGTTACCAATGACTTCGCTTAAATCCTGCAACGTTAAACATTATGTTATTATAGTTTTTTAAACCAAGAATTCAGTCTTTATTATTCACCAAACCCATTTACAATACTAGATGAAAGCAAAATCAACAATGGTTATAAAAACCGTCTGTTGTGGTTGGCACAATTACAATACATAGTAAAACACGATAGTAAAAATTACATCATAGCCCTAAAAGCATAAAAATGAAAAGCTATCGTTTTTCATAGTCCTCGCCACTCTTCCACCAACCTTTAAACCTCACTCCAACGCAGACAAAACGTAACGTCTTCCAGTTTACACGTTCCTTCTTGCATGAACATTTTGTCGTTGCAAACAAATCGTTACGTTTTATCGTAGAATAACCAGGCTTAACTTGAGGCAACCCAAACTGACATGCATGGCCATTACCGGGTGGTCCTGCACGACCCTTTTAAAATCCTATTAGCGACGCTTCGGACTATTAACAGTTCGATATTAACATTAATAAAATTATAATCTTATGTAGGTATAATTTACTCGTTTACGTTAAAAACATTGATTTAAAGCACATTTCTGTTTCCGTCCCATCTAAAACGGACATCTAACACTGTCCGTTTAAGATGGGACAAAAACAGAAATAATGGCTACTATTTTAGATAGAGAAGAGGTATCAAACTCTGGTTATGACCATACCTCAAGTTTTTGCAAACACTTCAAAATGAGGTCTCACTTGAAGGGTGTTTACATTTAAAGATTTTGAGTTGCCCCTAAAATCCCCCATTTTCAAAATCATCAAATAAAACTTCCTTCTAAGTTTGCACGAGTACGAAAGGGACATCTCTATATATTTACTTAAAAAAATATTATATGGGAAGGGTCTTGACTTGATATTCACCTTGTAAAAAGCAACAATGCAAGGACTAGGAAACTACTTGGTTTCAGTTATTTTCAGGTCAAACCGGTGCTGTAAACCAAAATATAAAATAATATTTAATCCGAATGATAAAAAAAAATACAATTTAAACAATTACAAATACAATAAATTAAGTCTGAAACATATACATTTACCTCATATTTTGATCCTCGCCCAATCATTACTTCGCGGATAGTCTCTTGCATATAGCGCTGCAAATCTTTTATATCAAATGTAAAAACATTATATTTCTTTAAGAAATTTCTCAATGCCAAAGCTGCAAAAATAGGAACAAATTTAATATATGTAATGGAGCAACTTTATTTATAATTACAATTAAACCTAACTTGTTACTTAAAACAGTAAAGAAGCTATGCAGCTGTTTTAATGTACTGGTAAAAAAACTTAAATAAAACCTAATAATGACATTCCATTTGATATAGGAGGTTGATTGAAAAGAATATTACATCATTTTCTCCTAATTTGCCCTATAAAAATACAATTTAGAAATTTTATTTCCTAACAATTTGTTTTAATATAGTGTTTCTGGAGACAAAGGTATGAGCACGTAATTGACGCAAAACACAAAAGTACCAGGAAGGGTGCTAATTGAATCCCGAGTGTGAAAAATATTCAGGGAAAGAGCTGAGAGAAAAGTTCCCAGAACCTTTTTTTGGATACGGCTCGTTCTAGAGGCGTGCCCCGGCACCCCCAGCACTAGAGGCGTGTTGAGCATAGAATATTTTCGTCTGCGCATATAGAACCACATCAGAAATAATAAGCATCATTATTACATGGTAAAAGTTTAAAGTTAAACACCAAAAATAAAACTGAAAAATATGATAGAAACTTGTATAAAATAAGTTCCTCATTCGTTCAGTGTTATTTAACTTAAGGCTGTAGTTGAATCGAGTTGATTTAATTTATAAAATCCGTAATAACTAGTGAAGTGCTGTTAAAACTATACCTGTAATTGTGTTTTTGACCATGTCGTCGTTAGGAGAACCATCAACAGTGTGGATGATAAAGATAGACTCTTGTTCTGCTTTGTAGCCATTTTCTTCTTTTAACAGCTCCTTGGCCTCAGCTAAGGGACTACTGTGGTACTTAAGTTGTAGTTCTTTAGACATAAATATTTTGAAGGCATCTTTCACTGTGCCGCGGTATTTGGGAATGACATCATCACTCTGAACAGCCTTGGTTCCATCTGGCACCCACTGTTTGCTGGAAGAGATTTGAGTTTTTAATTTTCTACATTCATGTATGTACATTACAACTTAACCATCGTTTAAATTTGTGAGCTGGACAAACTATTGCACTTATAACTAATAAAGGGAACTTATATATCCCTACTAATAAAGTGGAATTTTCCGGTGAGTTCACTTGTGAGTGGAAGCCGAAGCTTTAGTTGAGTGCGGCTATACATTTCGAGAGCAGAAATACACTCAATATGTTGTCTATCTCCATAACTGACTTGTGAACTTTTTAGTTTTATATGAAATGTCATCTAGGTTATGTTTGCTTTTATATAACTTCTATTCCCATGTTATTTTTATGGAGTAAAAGAAATCCTTTGTGGTGTTCTTGTTCATGGATTGTTTGTGGATACATCAAATTTGGCAAAATTATTTATTTATTTATTTAACCCAATACTATTAACATATGGACAACAAAAACCACAATTTACCTACGCTGTAGCAGCAAACCTGAGTGCTTGTTAAATCTAATGTTACTTAAAAGGTGAATAACAATGTCTTGATTAAGAAAATACTAGTGTACCTGTTGCTCGAATTCGAGCAATTGCGAAGCATTACAGGCGACTCAAAGATTATGGAAATACTCACGATCTACACAACAGTTAGATATAATCAAAATCTTTTGTAAATATCTTATCTCTTTTCGTAAAAGTTAATCTTGTTTTTTGAGCGTTTTTAGTGTGAAAAAAAAACATTATTTCTTTTTCTTCTACTTGGTTGTGTTCTATGACTTTTTCTATGTTTCCATTGTTTGCAAATCGGTTATTTCAATGATTGCTCAAGAAATGTAGCACAGTATTAATTCAGTTTTATTTTTAGCCTATATCAAATTGTCCAGGATTTCTCGCTCTTTTCCATTGTAATAATTACACCAACCAAAGTTTCGTCTACAGATGCAATATGCCAAAGAATATCACCTACGTACAATCTCCAAGAAGTGGTAAAAAGGCAGAAACCAACCCATACAATAGATATAAGTTAACTCCATAAGAAATAATTTCAAAATCTACTGTGATATTAGGATTTTCCACTGATTTGGTAATAGAACATTGTATTGCAAAACATGACACGATGCAGAAGAAAATCAATTTTAAAATCAGAAAAATCCATTGCAAATACTGTACTTCATTTTGACAAATTCAATAAATCACAATTTAAATATTAACAGCTGTTAATTAAAAGGTAGTGTAGAATGATGCATATGGTCGTAATGTAAACAAATCTGAAGAGGCAACTTTAAAGGCTTCTGGGGCAGAGCCCCAAGGGAATTGACCTCTTTCCTCTTTTGATGGCTCATCTACAGACCAAGACCTTTCTTTAGAGACCCCTACCAAGTTTCTACGCCCAGTCGTTCTTTCAAATTAGCTGTGACAAAAACCCCGTTTCCCTCCATAAGAATAACATGGGATGTGAATTTAAAGGCCACGGGGGCAGAGCCCCAAGGGAATTCACCATGTTTCTCTTTTGATGGCTCATCTACAGACCAAGACCTTTCTTTAGACACCTCTGCCGAGTTTCTACACCCAGCCATATTCTCAAAATAGCTATGACAAAGAAAAACAGTTTCAAATTAATATATAGATTTGAGTAAAAATACAATCAGAAAAATTGAAATTCACGTAGCCTACACGTTTGCTGTAGCTGTGGTATTTTTTTCATTTTTTTATGAAGAGGTGGGAAAATTTATGCACATAGGTGGCTAGCCTGTTGTGTGTGACTCCAACGGGGTTAGGGCCCATAGACTACCCACTAAAAACCTCCTCTACTCTTCGGACACTTGCCTGGGAACACTTGTCGCACTTCATCAGAACTAGGGCGAGTTTGCCTACGCCCGAAGGGCTTTCTCTATGTCTAGCTGTTCATTTCTTACAAAATCTAGACTGTGATCCGATCTAAATATTTTTCCCCCTTAAATGACATTCTGGACAGAGTGCGACCAGCAGTCCCAGTTGTCCTCACCCTCCAGCAAGGTCTCACAAATCGATTCAATCGACAGCACCCCAAGATGTTGAGTGGCCTCCCGGCGGAGCATATTCCATCGTGGACAGTGGAAAAAATGTGTTCCTCGTCGTCAGGAATGCATGGGCAGTAAATACAGTCAGGTGAATTCGTTTGGTCATCAAGTCCAGGCCATCAGGTACAACTGAAAATAGCCCTGACCTGACAAGAACTGCATGAGATAGTAGTCAACCTCACCGTGCTGCCGTTCCACCCACGGTTGGACCTGTCTGATGAGTCTGGCAGTCCAACGTCCTCGAGTCTCCCTTTCCCAGCTTTCTTGTCACATCTGAAAAGTGCGCTCTTCCGTTTTTTCGGAGTCATCCTTGATGTTGCCTTGTCTCTGGTAGATTGTCTTTCTCCCCGCTGCCAAGAGCTTGTTGAGCGCCTCTGCCCACACCTCAGAGCCGTAGAGAAGCAGGGACTGGACTGTAGACATCAATAGTCTTCTACGACTGGACCGATGACCACCGACATTGGCCGTAAGCTTTTACTAAGAGCAGCGACTTCAAGCAGCCTTGTCCGCCTTACGGAAGATCTGATCCCTCCAGCTCAACCTGTTGTCCACCATGACAAAAGGGAGCGGGGGTATTGTTTTCTTTACAAGTAATAATATTATAAAATTTTAATACTTTCTAAAACATGTAATTCAATATATGTCATACTTACTCGACAAGGTGTAATCTAATGTTCGCTTCGATGTCTTCTTTTGGTAAACTCTTTCTTGTCGGTAGAAGGTCGCTCCATTTATTAGGTTTCTTCCACGTATAAGCATTCCTCCAAATATAAGCCTTCTTCCATATATAACCTGTCCTCCAATTATAAGCTTTCCTCCGTTTAAGAGCTTCCGCATTCAAACCTTGCAAATTGACTGAAACAATGTCAAACCTAAAATGAAGGCTCTTAGTTTAGCTAAGGACACTTTAGGTTCAGAGTTACAAACTTTGAAACAAAATATTAACTTTTGCTATGGATCTGTAATACTACCCTATACCCATTTGGTTATTTATAACAATTGAATACTATATCAACAAAAACCCAGCTGATTTAAATTGTTTAGTCAATGAAAAAGGGTATATGAATCGAAACTCTTAAGTCATACAAACTATTTATCCACAATTCAATACACAACACTAACAATAATTGTATGCCAGATCAAAAAAGGACTATTCCTTTTAACTTTAAAGTATGATTCAACAACCATAAGTTTCCATTTTTATATGTGAAATTTAAAATATAACATAGCTATAAAACAGCCTACCGGTATATGTTTGATAATTTTTTATTCTTAGTTCCAAACTTTGTTCTTATTTAATGTAAAACAGCCCTTAAGGAAAATTTTTAATTGGCACAGACACACACACGCACGCATTACACAATGACACAATGACACAGTGAAACGCTCGTGCCTATTAATTTACAACATGGACATATTTACATTAATTTTAGTAAACACTTAAAATAAAAGTACTTACTAAAAATCAACAATAGAAGAATCTGTTTCATTTTCCAACATGTACATCCATCCTAAAACATTTGGAACGTTGTTTCCATGAAGTGGAAAGCCAAACGAGTGATGTGTACCACGTCAGTACTAACACACGGCTGCTGTTTTTGACGGCTTAATGACAGCAATAACTCAGATGTGAAACATTATAATTATATTACCTCCACCTCTAGCAAAAATGGTTACCCAGCAAAATAAAATACTGGTTTTGCAAATATGAGTTGAGTGGATAGGAGGCTTGAGTAGAATTTACGTATCAATCTCAGCTGATACGTAAATTCTACTCTTATTATACTCTCTTTATAATTCTTCTAGATATAGGCAGAGATGACTATTTAGCGATGACAGATAACTGTGTCAAGTTAAGGCTGAGATTATTTGAATAGCGTCTTTCAATGATGTGAGTTGATGACTAGGATATATGATTACATTGGTTGAATTATGCCAAAGGGTGTGGTGTTAATAGATTTAGAAATAAAATAAAGAATTTCGCTGTTTTTTATATATGTTATTTTTATAACAGACAGCTAATCTATACTTATACACACGAGGTTGTGTCCGTCTGTCTATCTGGATGTTTGTCTATCTTGGTGGCTGTCCCAGCCCGACTAAAGTACTTAGGAGATAAAGCCAAAATTAGTATAAACATGGTCCAAATATCTAAGGATGTCTTAGGCCTATTCACTTCCATTTACCTGGTTGGTTTTTTACAACATTATTCAATTAAAATTGTCAGATTGTTTTCCATTTTAATAAGTGTTTGGGTTTGCTGATACAGGGAAGGTAATGCCATCCATTTATTTCATTGAAATGCTGATAGAAACTAGGCAATAAACACTCTTGATAAATCTGATAAAAATATACCCATAAGCCTATTTTGCCTCTTACAAATCTTCTATACATATACCAACCATGCTGGTTCGCGAAATCAATCGAATAAACGTTGGTTTACATTTTTGTACAGAATTTTAATGGATCTTTTTACTCGAGTTATAGCGTATGAACTTGAACGAATGGTTCTTTAAGCCACCTGGTACGTTGAAACGAAAAAGTAAGTCGGTCCCGGTTCCAGGTATTACCATTATACCAACGGCAAAGCTTATTTCCAAATGGACAAATTGCTAACACAGCAAAAATAAATAAAACAGCCCTAGGTAATTTTTTGTACTCAATATTCATCTGACCATCGGTAAAAGTTTCACAAAATTACACTTAACCTGTGAGTAATCTATACTTATTTAATACGCAAGCAGGATTTTTGTGACAATTACTCCTCCGAAACTACTGAACCGATTGACATGTTTTTGGTGTCATTGGAAAGAGCGTAACGTGAAGTTGTGCAGGAAACTTTCTTTTTAGGGAAATAATTAAAGAGTGAGGCCCTGGGGCCCTTTAAAGTTTCGTATTTCTCCATAAGATTAACATGAGAAACAAATATTGTTTTGAAACTCCAGCTGTTGTCAGAAATAAAATATTAATAATTGGTCTCCATGGAAGAGTGAGAAAATTCACAATGTTTACATTTGCTTTGACATTTAAATGTAAACAACCAGAACTGTCAAATGCCTATTTCACAATTTTAGACAGCTGATAAAAAAAATTAAAACAACTATGTGGTAGGTTTATTTAATCTTAAACTTTATGATAGATTATTTATTATAAATCTATTTCAATGATTATGAAACAGATTTTTCCCATTGCGAAGGAAAAATTAATAGTGAGAAGAAAAACATACGTTAATTGTAAACAGTCAATGTGTAAATTATCTACGTTGTATTAAAAATGTGTATAGTTTTGGATGTTGGTTTCTGTTTAATGATATAAGTTATTAGTTAAATTTTTACTTAATTGGTACTTTATAAAAGCGGACAGCTTTTTTACGTTGACTTAAATTGTAAGCAATTCCCGTCCATGGGCAGTTTGATTGTTAAAAATTTACCCTTTAAACTGGAATAGGACTGTTATGTAAATTGTGAGTATTTCCATTGATTAATAATCTTTTAGTTGGCTCTTTTAAAATCATTGGAAATTATGACTATTCTTAGTTTTTAAATAAGTAATTTGTTTATAAATAACTCCTGTACTTCTTTGCAATTGCTCGATTTCGAGCAACATGTACACTAGTTGTTGTTAATCGTCATAAAACACCTGCGTGGCAATGGCCTACTGTACATGTGTCGGTACACTTTACTAGTTCCAACTAAGCTCTCGCTTTGCTTTTTTCATTTCAATGTAGGCAGCGTTAAAAAGATTGTAGAATCGATACACTTCTTGAAAATTTTAAAATATACTTTTACTCATAATTTTAGTAGTGTAAATAATTGAATTGATTCAGGTTTACTAATTATTTATCAATAATGTAGGTTCAAAAATAATGTAATAATTTATTAAAGATACAAATTCAAATATTCATGGATAGTCGAATCAATAAAACATGAAATAGTGTAACGTTTGAAAACCCCTTATAGCGATTTCCCACTAGCTATTACCGTAAGTCTCATGATAAAACCTCAAACCGAGACCGATTTACTTTAAAAAAATTTGATGTCCCCAAAGGCATAAAAAACACCATACGTTGAATATACTCGTATGTATGTACATGGTGCATACATAGTATGAAATGGTACGACCCCCCATTTCTGAATTAATTATAGTTCACAAGTTGTACCAACTTTTGTGACATCCCTTGCAAAATATGATAGTTACTCCCACCCTTAATTCACTATAAGGGTTGTTGACAAGATAAAGGTAGTAATGATGTTTGATTTAATATACACTTGAAATCGGCTGTTTCCAGAATTAATTACTTTTTTCAATTGACATGACAATGCGATAGACTGAGCTGTAATTGGTTTAGTTCATTTTGATCTATAATCTAATTTTACACCAACAGTTGTAAGGACGTGTTGCAGCTTTTAATGTAACTTTATTTCAAAAACAGTAATGATAAGCCTATAATAATCAATAGTTAATAATTGTGTATCATAATAATTGTATCATAATAATATAATTGTGTTAAGTAGAAGCTTTTGTAACCAACACTATAGAAACAGGATGACATTATCAATTCACTATTAAGTTTTATTCCTATATTCAAGAGATGTATAATTCTATAGATTTCTAGGCCCACAGCCATTCTAGTTATGTGATCCGTAAACGGTCAATACGTTATATAGTGTAGGCTCGTCATTACCACATGATTGCATAGTGATATGCTGCAATATGCAATCTGTTTACCACCGGAATTGCCTACACCTAATACCACTGCATACTAGGGTTGTATTCCATATTGCTATCTTGTAGGTAAATGGTACATAATATCATTGTGTAAAATACATAATATTTCACAATCCATGAGGTTAAACATTAACTTTATCAGTAGTTTATCGTTCTTTGCCATATTACCTTACATTTCTAATTAATAAATACTAAGATAACTTTGTAATGAAAACAGGCTAAATCATGTAAGTAAATGCTCACTTATTTAATATCCATAAAACTCTTGGGTTACTTTGGCAGATTTAATTGGTTGACGTAAAAGAAAAATTAATTGCTAGTAAAATTATGTAATAAAACTATACTCTGAACTATGAGTTTAAGTAACAGGTAAAAGATCTAATAAACGTTTATCACACTTAAATTTATGAAACTGAAAAGAGGTGAATGAATGGAATTTACAATAAAGTTGGTGACACTAAAGTATTCTCGAGTAAAAAAGATCCAGTTCTATTAAATGTTGCACAAATGCGCAAACCTACGTTTAACCAGCATGGTTGGAATATGTATGGGGGATGAGGTAAACTTGGCTGATCTATGTATCCTATTTTGCTAAAAAATCTTATTGCCTAGTATCTATCAGCATATAAATGAAATAAATAGATCTGTACTATAGATTAAACATACTCCCTTATTTGGTTATATTATACTATTATCCTCTCTGTAGTAGCAAACTCAAGTACTTATTAACATTATCTAAAAAGTAAATAAATCTGACGATTTTAAAGGAATGATTTTGTGGAAATCCTGCCAGGTAAATGGAAATTTATGTAATCCGCTGGTTTGCTGTTTAGGGGATATTTCTTATAGATGTGAACCTATCATAGGTTATGGAATCAGCAGAATGAAAATGAGGAATATGGTATAATTTAACCCATGAAATCATATACCCTAGTCATATACTCACATAATTGATAGGCGTTATTCAGGTCATTTCAGCTTTAAACTCGACACAGTTCTCTGTCATCTCTGCCTATGTCATCTCAGCTGATACGTAAATTCTACTCAAACCTTCTTGCCATAAAACTCAAATACGGTGGCGACGTCCTGTAATCCACCTACTTGGAGATCACGAATTGTGGATTCTTATAGGCATGCACTGTGGATACGATACACCATGGTGTGGAGTAACGTCCACACTAGTGAATACTACGACTATCCGCAGTGCTATCCTGATAATTAGACCAATTCTTTAATACCAAGGCAAAAATGTGGTTCGGATTCCACCATAAATTGTAGGTCCCTTAGTTGCCATTAGTTGTATGAGCTATTAATTAACAGCTGCGTCTAAGGAATATGTCGGCCTATCACTAACAAGACTACAAGATTGCGCCACTCATCCTACACTCATCTCCATTCATACTTGGCTAAAAATAACTACTTTGTATGGTCGCCATTTCAGTAATAGCTATTTACCTTACAAGTGTAGTAAGAGCGTTTTTACATCACGCAGGTGAATGTTGTGCAACGAGCGGAAGCGAGTTGCATAATTTACCGAAGTGATGTAAACACGCTCTTGCGTAACGTGTAACGTACAAGATTTTACCTGACCCGACAATATACAGGAGGTTACGAACAATATTTTTCATTGTCCATTTCACTCATCTTCTGACAGTAACGTTCATTTACAAACAAAAGCTAGGTTAGGAAAATTCTTCAAAACATAACAATAAAATTCAAGCGCACAGCTGATTTCTAGCGTTGAACGTCGTTGGCTCCATAGAGGTATATTTTTTAAGTTAAGCACTCAATGTTATTTAAATGGGTTTCATTACATCACCGAGTGAGTTTTTTTCAACTTTACATCA